ATTCCTTCATACAACCTGAAAAAATTTGGCTCCAGAACGTTTCAATACAGTGCATCAGTAATTTGGAATAAATTACCGAAATCAATTCGACAATGTGAATCTGTGTCTGCATTTAAATGTAAAGTGAAAACTTGGTTGTTTAGTTACTATCAATAACTCACCAATGGAGATCACTGGAATGCGCCTTGAGAAATTCCACGAGGATTTAATTGCTGCGCAATATAAATATCGTCATTATTATTAAATATTTCTGTATGTTTAAATTTCTTTCCCATTTTTTATTCTATAGTTTTGTTCCAAAAATCACTGCTTCTCCTTTATACTTTGAAAGAAAAATTCCTTCTCCAGTGTGTATATTTTTTAAAAATATTCCATTACCTTTATGTTTGACTTTGACTTCTCCCGTGTCAATCTTATCTATTAGATTACTTAATCCCTCAGTTTTCTTGGTTTCTTGACTAAATCGATTTCCGAATTCTTTTACTGTGCCTAATATATCTGCTACTCCAGAACCTCGTGCTTCCTTTTCCATTGCTAAATTCTGTCTACGTTCTTCAGAGGTTTGAGCTTCAGCTGCTTTCTCTGTGTTGGCAGCTTGGACTGCGGCAGATATATCCAACCAGTTTCTGCACTAGCCGCGGTAATACCAGCAAATATCAATGATAGAAATGGTAAAAATCCACCTTCCTTTGCATTCGTGTCAATTCTTTCTAAATCTCCATTTCATTTCATTAGTCCAATAAGATACAGAACAGTAGGATATAAAACTCCATTTCATTTCATTAGTCCAATAAGATACAGAACAGTAGGATATAAAACTCTATTTCATTTCATTAGTCCAATAAGATACAGAACAGTAGGATATAAAACTCTATTTCATTTCATTAGTCCAATAAGATACAGAACAATAGGATATAAAACTCTATTTCATTTCATTAGTCCAATAAGATGAGTTTGAACTTTTTGATGGATTTCAATCAGCCTATCGTTCTGCACATCACTGAAACAGCTTTAGTTTGTGTCCTTGATGCCATTAAATCTTCTGTTGACTTGGGCAATTTCATCAGTGACTTTACAATATATATATTTATCAATAAGCTTTTTAGTTATGTTGATTTTTTTACCATTGAAAGTTATTACAGTTGGTGAAGCTGTTTCAATAGCTTCTATTATTTTCATAACTTAAGTTTCTGGTTTCATTTTTAAAGGGTGTTTTTTTATTCAATTCTTATAATTCTTCTATCTGCTATTTTAATTAAATGTTTTGCTTCTTCCAATAATAAACAGTACCCGGTTTCAACATGAATATTTATATTTACTCCTGTTTTGAAAAGATCTTCTTGGTGAGCTGACAGATCAAAACAGAAGATTGGGTGATTAATTGCAAAATCTACATATTGAAACTGAGGTGGATTTCCAAATAATTCACACATATTTTTATAGTTTCTATACAATTCATTATAATCCTTTGTGGTTGGATTAATTGTTAAAGGTTGGTTAGGATAATTATCATTGTTTAATCTTATTTGAACTTTACGGATTATGGGATCTTGAGTTTGGTTCATTGCTACTCTTCAGATACTATTGTTATTAGTCTGGTAAGTTCTTGAAACCAACCATTAAATATCTTGCTGGTTTAATATTGTTAGTGATTGGCCACGTGGTGGATTCTCCAGTTAAAGTCATGCTACCTACCGTATTACGATGAAGAAAAGCAATTTCGATGTCTTTAGTTAATGAGTTGAATATTCTCGTTTCAACGTCGATTGATGGTGTTATTACGGGTATGAAAAGTTGGAGATTCGTTATTTCTAATTTTGCGTTTGAAGCATTCTATCCAAAGAAAATCTTATGATTGTTGATTTCTCTTTGTAGATGAATTTTATATGGTAAACTTATGGAAACCTTTCTGTGTTCCAACAGACCAAATAAAGGATATAACTTCAACATTGTATCAAATTCCTCAGGAATATATATTTGAATCAGCTTCCAAAACCATCTCCACTCAAAGAACGCCGCCGCAGACACAAACTATTTCTCATGAACTAAATTTTTAAACAAAATGACCCCAGATCATCTCTCCGACGTAGTTCCAACTAAACCGCATTTACATAATCTTAGAAACAGTCACAATCTTAGAGAATTCTTTTGCCGCACATCACTTTACTATAACTTTTTCTTTCCCTCTACTATACGAACATGGAATTTATTAAATCCTTCTCTACAAAATTCAGCTTCCCTTCAAATATTCAAAACGAGACTTTCAGCACAGGACGTAATTGTACCATCATTTGATTATTTAGGCAAACGTACAACTCAAATTATCCATTCAAAACTCAGACTATCCTGCAGCGACTTAAATGGGCACAAATTAGTCTGCCCCTTGTACTCAGATGAACAGAAACATACAATCAACACTCTTCAACCTCACTTCCAAAACATAACAATATTGTTATACGGCTCTTCGACTTTACCTGTAGATGACAACATTTTTGTACATTGATAGTCCTTTCGAGCACCATTTACATATTTAAAAAAAAAGAAACCTCGCTAAATAAAGATGGAAAGAAATTGTATTAGTTTGAGGAACTCGATTCTGATTGGGAGTTCCATCTTTGATTTGAAATCACATCTGAAATAAGCATCGGAAAGAAGCAACCAATTTGATAATGAATTTATTATGAAGGTATTTCTATCACCATCATTCAACTGGGATTTAGAACCAACAGTGGGTGAGATGATAATATAATCCTCTTTTTTCTTAAAAATGAATAACGAATCGGATCGTATAATTTAAAGATTGGATCTAGTATGTAATTTTTATCTCCCATTTTGAAGGTTTAAAATTTGAATATAAATTTATCGTATTCGTCTAGCCTAGTACTTGGAAGATGTTTTTCTCCAGGATATTTTGCCCATGGAAAACCAGGAAGATTGGCTAGTGAAGATTGTATATCTGAACCAAAGTAAGTTTTTTGAGTGTGTCATTTTTTATCCTATAATTTTAAAACCTTGTTGTTTCTTTTCTTCTAATCTCCTGTTTCGTAGTTCTTTTATTAGTTGTAATTCTTTCAACTCGTTAGATTGTTTCACTGTGTCGCTTATACTAACTCCTGCTTTTGCGATAGAACCGATAGCTTGGGCATCGGATGAAATAAGTGAAACAAAGCTAGCTATTTTTTGGAATTAGAGAAGTTAGTGCTGAGATGAAACCATCTCCTTTAAATCTTTCTTGTTTGTGTTTTAGTGTTAGAGTCATTTTCAGGGGATAAAATTTAGCTATAGTTGGTAATAGAGGGGGGGGGGGGGGTGTTTGGCGTGGATGATGACCATATAATAGCGTACACATATGATATACCCCGAAAGAAGAAGCCCTCCTATCCCTACGCACAGCTGTAGATAACAACCGCGACACCCTCAACACCAACCTCACCACAGACAGCATCATCACCTTAGCCAAACTCTGTATCGATACTACCTACTTCTCATGGAATGACAACCTCTACAAGCAGATTCACGAGCTCCCAATGGGATCCCCCTCTCACCCCTACTTACCGAAGTTAGAACTTCTGGACCATCTTAACAACCAGCATCAACGCATTCAGTTCACCGTAGAAACTGAAAAGGACTCTGTATTCCTTGACATCAACATCCACAGATCATCCGACGAACTTAAGACCAACGTTTACAGAAAACCTACCCAACTTATACATTCATGCCAACTCCAACCACCACGCCCAAACCAAAACAGGCATCATATCAACCCTCGCCAGAAGAGCCGAGGCTATATGCATTCCAGAATACCTATCTGAAGAAATCAGCCATCTCAAAACAGTATTTACCTCCTACAGCCAATACCCTCCACTTCTTACCGACAAGATCATCAAAAAAACCATTCGTCCCACCAACAACACCGAGCTCTCCCAAACCAGACCAGATTCATCCTAACCCAGAATTGGCATCCCCTTCATAGGTCCTACCAGCTACAAAATTCGCCGTCTCATGCGACAGAAACTGTCTGTCCAAACTTATTTCACGTCTGGTACCACCCTAAAATCCCTGATAGGGCAACTGGCAGAACATCCTCTGAAATCCCTACTGATCTTAAAGGTGTGGTTCACTCCATTCCATGCAACTGTGGTGCCATCTACATTGGAGAAACATCGCCCCCATTTCAGTCCGCACCAAAGAGCACCTTACATCCACCAAGAAACACGATGCTATATAACCTCATGTTTACCCCCACTCATTCATTTCATCTGATGACGACACGTGTAAATTGTGTTGAAACGTTATGTGCTTTGTTATTAAAGATATCCCTTGTGTTTTTTGTTATATCTACTCTCCACTTCTAAATGTCGTTCAAATCTTATGTCATGATATAACCCTATTAAAGCTGTAAGCAAAGAAAACTACGAGAACACCAGAGGTTATTCATATTTCTAGATAGATGACTCAACAAGACTCTACACTCTTAGAAACACTGTTGTATGTTAGAATTCATTCGGAAATTTATACTAAATTCTAAGACTCCTACTGAACAGATGCCAACTTGACAACGTCAATCGATATTCGAGGAAAAAGGCGAGAAAGCCAGTGTAAAAAAAAAGCGAGGAAAAAGGCGACAAGTCTAGAAAGGCCTTTTTCTTCGCCTTTTTCCTCGCTTTCTCGCCCTTTTCCTCGCCTTTTTCCTCGCTTTCTCGCCCTTTCTCCTCGCCTCTTTCCTCGCCTTTTTCCTCGCCTTTTCCTCGCTTTCTCGCCCTTTTCCTCGCCTTTCTCCTCGCCTTTTTCCTCGCCTTTTTTCTCGCCTTTTTCCTCGCTTTCTCGTGGGCGAGAAGTCGACATTAGATATGGCCGCAGCCGGCTTCCATAGTTTCGTGATTGACCTAAATTTTGTATGCTAAATTTTATTAGTGATAAGGATGACGACATCATTTATTTTTCTTAATTTTCAATCACAAAAATGGAATGTAATTATAAAATCTAATTTCCTCGCCTTTTTACTCGCCTTTTTCCTCGCCTTTTTCCTCGCCTTTCTCCTCGCCTTTTTCCTCGCATTTCTCCTCGCCTTTTTCCTCGCCTTTCTCCTCGCCTTTTTCCTCGCCTTTCTCCTCGCCTTTTTCCTCGCCTTTCTCCTCGCCTTTTTCCTCGCCTTTCTCCTCGCCTTTTTCATCGCTTTTCTCCTCGCCTTTTTCCTCGCCTTTTTCCTCACCTTTTCTTCGCTTTCTCGCCTGTTTCCCTGCCTTTCTCCTCGCCTGTTTCCTCGCCTTTCTCCTCGCCTGTTTCCTCACCTTTCTCCTCGCCTTTTTCCTCGCCTTTCTCCTCACCTTTTTCCTCGCCTCTCTCCTCGCCTTTTTCCTCGCCCTTTTCCTCGCCTTTCTCCTCGCCCTTTTCCTCGCCTTTCTCCTCGTGTTCGTATACATCATTTATTTTTTTAATTTTGAATTAAAAACCTGGAATATGATTATAAAACATCAAAAATTCTAGAAATATTACCTTTTTAATTCAAAATTCTAGAATTTTCACCCGGGTGAAAATACAAGTTTTCAATTCAAAATTAATAGATAATTGATGTCGTATAAGAGGGAAAATGAAAAAAATTATGCTACTTCCACTCGATAGCGCAAAAAACCCAGACTAGAAAATTTTTCAGGAGGGAGGCCAACCCCCATGACCACACACCATGCTTAGTGCCCTCTAAATTCCACAAATTGGGGAGCTCAAATGACCACCGCCCACCACACACCGCCCACCCATTCACAGTCAATGTAATCCTCGATTCGCCACTTTAATAAAAATACCAATTGAAATATGCTTAAAGTTTTATCTTGATAAACATGTTATAATGGAGTTATATTATGATAAACATGTTATAATAGAGTTGTATCATGATAAACATGGTATACTAGAGTTATATCAAGATAAACATGTTATAATAGAGGTATATCATGATAAACATGTGGTAATAGAGGTATATCATGATAAACATGTTATAATAGAGTTATATCATGATAAACATGTTATAATTCAGTCATATCATAATAAACATGTTATAATAGAGTTACATCACGATAAACATGTTAAAATAGAGTTATATCATGATAAACATGTTATAATAGAGTTAAATCATGATAAACATGTTATAATAAAGTTATATCATGATAAACATGTTGTAATAGAGTTTTTTCACGATAAACGCTATATAGTAGAGTTATATCATGATAAACATGTTATACTAGAGTTATATCATGATAAACATGTTATACTAGAGTTATATCATGATAAACATGTTATAATAGAGTTAAATCATGATAAACATGTTATAATAGAGTTACATCACGATAAACGTGTTAAAATAGAGTTTAATCATGATAAACATGTTATAATAGAGTTATATCACGATAAACATGTTATAATAGAGTTTAATCATGATAAACATGTTATAATAGAGTTATATCATGATAAACATGTTATATTAGAGTTATATCATGATAAACATGTTATAATAGAGTTAAATCATGATAAACATGTTATAATAGAGTTACATCACGATAAACATGTTATAATAGAGTTACATCACGATAAACATGTTAAAATAGAGTTATATCATGATAAACATGTTATAATAGAGTTAAATCATGATAAACATGTTATAACAAAGTTATATCATGATAAACATGTTATAATAGAGTTATATTATGATAAACATGTTATAATAGAGTTATATCATGATAAACATGTTATATTAGAGTTATACTATGATAAACATGTTATAATAGAGTTATTTCATGATAAACATGTTATAATAGGGTTAAATCATGATAAACATGTTATAATAAAGTTATATTATGATAAACATGTTATATTAGAGTTAAATCATGATAAACAAGTTATAATAGAGTTATATCATGATAAACATGTTATAATAGATTTATATCATTATAAACATGTTATAATAGAGTTACATCACGATAAACATGTTAAAATAGAGTTATATCAAGATAAACATGTTGTAATAGAGTTATATTGTGATAAACATGTTATAATAAAGTTATATTATGATAAACATGTTGTAATAGAGTTATATTGTGATAAACATGTTATAATAAAGTTATATTATGATAAACATGTTGTAAAAGAGTTATATTGTGATAAACATGTTGTAATAGAGTTATATTGTGATAAACATGTTATAATAAAGTTATATTATGATAAACATATTGTAATAGAGTTATATTGTGATAAACATGTTATAATAGAGTTATATCATGATAAACATGTTATAATAGAGTTATATTGTGATAAACATGTTATAATAGAGTTCTATCATGATAAACATGTTAAAATAGAGTTATATCATGATAAACATGTTATAATAGAGTTATATTGTGATAAACATGTTATAATAGAGTTATATTGTGATAAACATGTTATAATAGAGTTATATTGTGATAAACATGTTATAATAGAGTTATATCATAATAAATTATTTTACATGTATTAATTATTGACGTATTTTTTCTGCTACAATATAGTCAGTAACGTGTATAGTATCGCCATCAAATAGGTCGTCTAGAGTAATGTTATAGAACATACAAACTTCACCTCTCTCAAATCCATAATTCACCATTAGACAATCCTTCATCTCAGAACAATTTGTAATACAATGGTCCAGATCTTTGTTAAAAGACACGGCGATGACTGGTGGTGGAAATAGAAGACAATTACCATAATCAACTACAAAGGTGGCACACTCGGTATAGTTATTACATAATTCATTACATTCGGTTTGGTTTACATTTTCTATTATATCCGGTGCTACAATATCAATACTCGTATCCTGTGTATACTTGAAACCACCATCTAAAACATAAAATAAGTAATTCCTTAATTATAATTTTATATGGTAACAGATAATCAGCGTTGACAAGTTTAGGGTGTTATCTCTCGGGAAAAGTTGACGAATTGTACGATAGTGAAACCTAAAGTAGAATGCTGTGAAAGCCTCTTGTCGTTTTAAGATAGTATCAATATTTGGTAGGGGTGGTTTACAAGGCGTATCCTCATACGGGTTTTTTACTGTCGCCCTAAGTAAGATACTTGTAATACAATGTTTTAGAGTTTGTAAAGAGGTTTCTAAATCTTTTTTGAATATCGGGGCAACTGATTGCATCGATGTGACCCATTCCAATCTCAGTCAGACAAATACTTTGGATATTATTATCAGTTCTGGCGATATACGTTTTAGCTTTTTTAAATGTGCAGGAAAACATACTTAAATATTATTAGAATAATGCAAATAGAAGTCATAAATTGTCTTAATAAACAAAAAAAAAAGCTAGATAACCTTTTTCCAAACCCTTTTTATATACTCAGTTGTGAAATACACGTCCAGATATTAGTGCTTCATTCACAAATGTAAATTTCGTAAAATGTCAGTCAGTCAATAAGATTGTTGATCCATAGGCCATTTTGTAAAAGTGTTCACAATGAACAGAAAACAAATGATCAAAGAACTGAATATTATAAAAAAGAATTGAACGAGTTCATTTGTACAAAGACTATGGCATAAAGTGTAAAATGTCACCATGTTTAATTTAAACTGAATTCTTGAAGAAAATGTACCTGTCATATCTTGAGGTTGACAATATGGTTCTTGATATTTCCACTCTCCATCTATACAACTTATTAGTTGCTTCATGTTGAAACCTTTCTTACAGGTAACACTGACATCAACACAATTGTCGTCCTTGTTGAAATATGCGTTTTTAACGTCTGGATAAGTTGAGCAATCTGAAATTATTATTTTGTTATCTATTATTTTTAATATTGAAAATAAACATTCAGATTTTATAAGTCAAAATTAAGATACCTTATTATTTGATTCAACATTTGTCTTGTTTGCACATGAATATAAGATCTCAACAAGGTATTAAGGGTGAGCGATATGTGTTCACAAGAAATGTTGACGGACCGACGGACAGGGGCGACGGCAATATACGTCCACATTTAATATTCACAGCTACACAAATAATGAAAGCAACGGTCATTATGTCGAATATCATACATGAACAGTAATCTTGCTGATTACAACCCTTCCAATCATAGTTTTAAAAAACAAATATATTTACCGGCATCAATAAGAATCAGCTTTGTTACTGCTAATAAAAATACAGAACACAAGAGGTTATTCATATTTCTAGATAGATGACTCAACAAGACTCTACACTCTTAGAAACACTGTTGTATGTTAGAATTCATTCGGAAATTTATACTAAATTCTAAGTTTCCTACTGAACAGATGCTAACTTGACACCTGTCAATCGATATCCTGTTTTCGCACATTTTTTCAGCGACAGAATTCTAAAGGCCGGTTCACAAGAGCTAATTTTTCTCTCAGTCTTGATCAGTCGAGTGAACATGGCTTTTTACGAAGAAAACTATATCGGTATTTCTATTAGAATGTTGTTTTGTCAACTTTAGAATATTTAAATGAAGTTGAAAACAAATAAAAATAAAAGGAATATGTGTGGCAGGCTATCAAGTCGTTGCTCGTGAATGTACTCATCCTTGTAGACTACTTAAGAAGTTGACCCATCCCCTGTGGACAGCACTCTCCTTTGATCATTATCATTTTTTTCCAAATAACTGACAGATTCAGAAGAGGATTGGTGTATGTTTGATGTATTAAGACTATTCTATACTAGTAAATATAACTAACAGTCGTAATATTTCATATTTGTATAGGCATGTGTGTTAACTGAATTTGAGCATTGAGTCAATTTGAGAAAATTGAGTGTATTTTCATTATCACCTCAGTTTTTTTTAACCGATTTATAACATCTTTGGTCACTGCACCATATATTCAAGAAATCCTGAAAGTTTCATGTCTCAAAGATTATGGTTAAAGTTCAAGATTTGTATAGAAATCAAACCGAAATGTGCTTTAAAAGCTGAATATGGAGTTGTGGGCAATTTCTGAAAGTGTGAACATGGATTTTTGGTTAGTTATAAAATAAAGTAATCTCCAGGTCGTGCTACCAAAAGTTATTTTTTAGCACATTGAGAGGCACAGTCCACGGCCTTTAACTGCAAAACGAAACCCAAAATTCATAACAACATAATGGTTGGGGAGCAGCTGTTCACATGAAAACATATATTAATCAAAAGCGAGTAAGCAATTCATATCAAGTGTCAAGAAGAGTAAGTATACTCGTATACCCGTCATTGCTGCTCAACATATACATACTCACTAAAGAAGTAGGCTAAGCGTTGACCGAAACATCTGGCCTATAAACAAGAGTATCTTATACAATATTTATTATATCGGCTGTCAACAATAGATAAAGCTGTGTATTATTGTTGCTGTCAGGAGACCACCACAGAGTACCTAAAGATGTCAGAGCATTAAAACTCAACAGGACAGCGTGTCACATGCATAATATATCATCCAGAAATATTGAACCTTCATTTTTGATATATTTTCAAAATGGCCGTCAAATTAATGTTAACGCATGTTTTTCTTAATGATAATGCACCTTTATAATGATACAAATCTATCATTCCAAAATACCCAACAGTTGTTCAAGTTTAAACAAGCTTATTGACTTTGAATAATCAACAGTTGTTCAAGATGGTGTCCATAACATGATAGTCAATTCTTAGTTACAAAGTTTAGCTGTTTTGGTTTCCTTCATTCTTAGTTACAAAGTGTAGCTGTTTTGGTCTCCATCATTCTTAGTTACAAAGTTTAGCTGTTTTGGTTCCCATCATTCTTAGTTACAAAGTTTAGCAGTTTTGGTCTCCATCATTCTTAGTTACAAAGTTCAGCTGTTTTGGTTTCCATCATTCTTAGTTACAAAGTTTAGCTGTTTTGGTCTCCACCATTCTTAGTTACAAAGTTTAGCTGTTTTGGTTTCCATCATCCTTAGTTACAAAGTTTAGTTGTTTTAGTTTCCATCATCCTTAGTTTAGTTACAAAGTTTAGCTGTTTTGGTTTCCATCATTCTAAGTTACAAAGTTTAGTTGTTTTAGTTTCCATCATCCTTAGTTACAAAGTTTAGTTGTTTTGGTTTCCATCATTCTTAGTTACAAAGTTTAGCTGTTTTGGTTTCCATCATTCTTAGTTACAAAGTTTAGTTGTTTTAGTTTCCATCATCCTTAGTTACAAAGTTTAGTTGTTTTGGTTTCCATCATTCTTAGTTACAAAGTTTAGCTGTTTTGGTTTCCATCATTCTAAGTTACAAAGTTTAGTTGTTTTAGTTTCCATCATCCTTAGTTACAAAGTTTAGCTGTTTTGGTTTCCATCATTCTTAGTTACAAAGTTTAGCTGTTTCGGTTTCCATCATTCTTAGTTACAAAGTTTAGTTGTTTTAGTTTCCAACATCCTTAATTACAAAGTTTAGCTGTTTTAGTTTCCATCATTCTTAATTACAAAGTTTAGCTGTTTTAGTTTCCATCATCCTTAGTTACAAAGTTTAGCTGTTTTGGTTTCGATCATTCTTAGTTACAAAGTTTAGCTGTTTTGGTCTCCATCATTCTAAGTTACAAAGTTTAGCTGTTTTAGTTTCCAACATCCTTAATTACAAAGTTTAGCTGTTTTGGTTTCCATCATTCTAAGTTACAAAGTTTAGCTGTTTTAGTTTCCATCATTCTTAGTTACAAAGTTTAGTTGTTTTAGTTTCCATCATCCTTAGTTACAAAATTTAGCTGTTTTGGTTTCCATCATTCTTATTTACAAAGTTCAGTTGTTTTAGTTTCCATCATCCTTAGTTACAAAGTTTAGCTGTTTTGGTTTCCATCATTCTAGGTTACAAAGTTTAGCTGTTTTAGTTTCCAACATCCTTAATTACAAAGTTTAGCTGTTTTGGTTTCCATCATTCTTATTTACAAAGTTTAGTTGTTTTAGTTTCCAACATCCTTAATTACAAAGTTTAGCTGTTTTGGTTTACATCATTCTTATTTACAAATTCTAGTTGTTTTAGTTTCCATCATTCTTAGTTACAAAGTTTAGCTGTTTTGGTCTCCATCATTCTTAGTTACAAAGTTTAGCTGTTTTGGTTTCCATCATTCTTATTTACAAAGTTTAGTTGTTTTAGTTTCCATCATCCTTAGTTACAAAGTTTAGCTGTTTTGGTTTCCATCATTCTTATTTACAAAGTTTAGCTGTTTTAGTTTCCATCATCCTTAATTACAAAGTTTAGCTGTTTTAGTTTCCATCATCCTTAGTTACAAAGTTTAGTTGTTTTAGTTTCCATCATTCTTAATTACAAAGTTTAGCTGTTTTAGTTTCCATCATCCTTAGTTACAAAGTTTAGCTGTTTTGGTTTCCATCATTCTTAGTTACAAAGTTTAGCTGTTTTGGTTTCCATCATTCTTAGTTACAAAGTTTAGCTGTTTTAGTTTCCAACATCCTTAATTACAAAGTTTAGCTGTTTTGGTTTCCATCATTCTAAGTTACAAAGTTTAGCTGTTTTAGTTTCCATCATTCTTAGTTACAAAGTT